CCCCCCCCAACTCCCTTTTTCGCCCCCTCTCTTTCACATTAATACATAACCGAATGGTGCGAGACAGAATAGGGTCATTGTATGAATACTGGACCATTTAGTCGTTCTGTGCTTTTGCGCTTTAATATTGTTATTATCACTAAGCATTTGCTATACCAGTACCAGACTAATCATGGATTACAGTATAAGAAATAATCTTTTAGATTACCTCGCCTGATGTGGACCAACGTTTCCACGTTCGAAACTCGAGCTTGCTGTGATATCCGCATCCGGTATCGCTCCGGATTCCATGCCCAGTGGCGCGATGCATTGTGCTGCAAGTCAAGAAGTATATATATATGGTCATGTGTAAGTATATAAATGGGTATATATATATACAGGTATATGCATTACGGGTAGATCATAAACGGGCGAATAACTAGCTAAACCGAGATGAATCTTGGCGATAGCGGTTTATGCCCGTGTGTCTTGACTACCGAGGAAAGCTGAGACTACCTCACTGTTTCTTATCGTATTGTACTATCTCATCGTTTCGTAAGAAATGTACGTAACCGCCTTATTCACGTTGTTACGTAGGGAAGGATGATAGGACGATGCTTATTTAGGTAAACTTATATACATAAATGATACCAATCATATTTTCATGGAGTTATGGAATAACGCGATATTACAGTAAACGGCTGTTATGACTGTACAAGGGTGGAAGTTTAAATTAGCAAATTTATTAGATTGCGGAAATAAATTAGATTTTGGTAAAATCGAAATTATGGTGAAACACTAATTCAAATATTTGATCGCGCGGAAGGTTTTGGGAACTCGTATTAGTTATTGATGTATTACGGTTTTAATCTGTCGAAAACGGGTGACGGCCGCCTCGTTATTGGCAATAATGATAATATCTAGGCTCACTGTATCGATTACTTTATTTTGGCTGTGCTAGGTTGAAATACGGTTTTTAGGAGTTCGTACTTAGGTGAGAGGTCCTAGGTTAACGTTAACGAAAAAAAAAAAAAAAAAATTCGATATGATATTACAGCAGCAGAGAGAGAATTGCCTGAGTAGGATCGTGTACGATATAGAAGGACGCCCGGCGTCGTTTCTCAATGGCTATTATTATTAATGAAGGTGCGAGAGCTCTCAATATATATTACTCCCAAGGGTTCGCAGTCCTCATGATTTCTCGACATACCCTCTTCGCGTAAACTTCAACTATTTCGACCGTGCAAGTTTTCAACTGTCGACACGGGACCATCCCTATCATTGGTGCTCGTGAAGATTTTACACGATTACCAACCCCTGGTAAAGATCGAGATCGAAAAATGTCGAGATTCAAAATTTTTTAAATTTTTACTTTCATTTCAAAGCACCTGAAAAATTTATTCCCCGAGGTTACATATTTCATATTAACTTTCCCCAATTGGTAGTAGCCGTTCCGTCTGAAGAACGTTCGATTAACCTGTCAAACGATTATTATCGGCAAGCGGGTTGATCGGGGTGGCCGAACCCGACGAGAAAACTCGTTACGAAGTAACGTGGTTGCGACGGCTCGTTTGCTGTTACTAACGACGCCAAGCTAAGTAAGATATACTCCACATGTAAATTGGTGGTTCGGCGGTTGCTCGTACCTCGTGGGTTTGGCTTGCGGTTGAAAGAAAAAATGGACTGCTACGAAGTGAATAGCAAAAAGGGAAGAGAAAAAATGTATATGCTAAAAGAATTATCCAGGCTGTGCTAAGTGTTGAGAGTACTTACACAGGTCCACGGCGTGCGACGTTCGTACCAGAAGTAGCAGGAAGACGTAGTGAAGGGTGAAACGGGCGGCAAGTGGCGCCCTTGCGTAAAAGCACCTAAAGGTTTCCAGCATAGCTCCCTTGGGCGGGCCTGAACCTCGCCCTTTCTCACCGCGACTTCTGCATCATTTTCGTCTACCTGAAAGCAGCAGAAACAAAATAATATAAATCTCCACGTACCAGAGCGACCTCAAGCCAGATCGATGATTCGACAGGTGTCGCTAGTTGAAAATAAAATCTAGTTCACACGCTCTTACCTACAGGCCCACCGTTTCACCTTATAACATAATAATAATTTTTCATTAACACTAATCGTACCATCGACGGGTCATTTGACCCTTTTAAAGCCAAAAATACGTTTATAAAAAATTGTCGGTATGTTTAGTGTTAAAGCCAGTATCTATACAGTGTGTACTACCCTTAAGCCCTTATACGCGTATCAGCGTCTTGACCCGAGAGTCACGTAAAGCACCTAAACCGATCGCATTCGCATCAGCCGTATCTCGCGAATTTCAACACCTGTTTTCACGACAAATTTTTCTCAACTTTAATGGCGCACGTTCAAAGGCGCGAGCCGCGACGCCCGTCGTCGAGGTGGCCAACGCTTTCTACGGAAGTCTACGGCCTCGGTAATTGCCACAGGGGATGAATAAGTAATGCGAACACGAGCGAAGAGTCGCTCGGTCGCGGGCCTCGCGTGTTTCTATTAAATATACATGGCTCAACTTTGAACTTGTATTCCATGTACTTGGAATCTTAGGGCTTATATACCTGTACGTAATATCTCAGACCGCGTATAACTGTATCATGTGTACACGTGAACAGCCTTGATTCACCGACTGACTCTTATATATATTTATTGTATATAGGTGTGGGTCTAGAAAAAGTTTATCAGGCGTCGCGACGACTTTCGCCCTCGCGTGACAATTCTCGCGTTTTTAGAATATTCTCGAATAATTCGTTACTTTATGTACCTTCGCTGTATATGTAGATATTATATATACTTTGCTTTAGTTTTCATACAGCACTAGTTACCAATGAAATATTCATGATGCATGTAAAGCCAGGAGGACACTGGGAACCAAATATTTATTCACTCGCGTTTCCGTTGGGATAGTACGATTTTCTGTCGAGTACATAAAATTTACATGAGTTTTCCCTCTTCTTTTTTTTTTTTTTCTTCTTCAGAATACAAAATAAAGTACGATACACCTGCAATAGATACTGGCGTGAATAGCCCGACGAGGCTCAGGTGTAGGTACACGCTACGAACGACAGGTATACGAAAATATTCCATAAACTCTCACTGATCTCCAGGCTGCTCTTATTCGCTTGTATAATTAGTAAAATGTAACAGACATTAATTATTCGAGCAATGGCTCCTCCAGGGAAAACTTAGTTATTGGGAGTGCCATACACCTAAGCCTCACCGTAAGCTGCCGGCTTCGAGGAGTCTAGTTTACCATCGAATCTCTCCATTTACATAGGAATGAGTTTATGCAGATGATTACAAGAACAGTATCTGTATCGTTCGTCACATATTATATATATACAAGTTACTCGTATAGTATATGTATATAGCTACAACCAAGCACCTTGTACTACGTGCACATACATTACTTATGTGAAGAACAAGAGTGAGTAAGAAGAAACAAAGAAAAACGCGTGAAACTTCAAGAAGAGGAAAAAACAGAGTTTAAAAAAAATTACAAATCCAGGAACGACGCACCAAAAGCGTCGCGACGTCCGTCCGATTCCGCAAGACGGAAAAGTTTTTTACATAAAAAATACTCATGGACCTGGGCAGTTCTAGCCATTGCAGTCGAAACGTCTGATCGTAAAATTGGAAGACTGTCTGAGAGATAGATGGAAAAACAAAGTTGAACGTTACGTTTGTTGGTACAGTTAATTAAACATAAACAATGGGTATGTCAAATGGCAAAAAAAAAACAATGAAGAGCCTGTATTACAACCGCGAGCATAAAGGGTCCCGTCGGGTTGCGAGTCTTTTGGAAAGTGAGAGGAGACAGAGTATATATCTGCGTTTAAAAATACATACGGAAGTATGAGAAACACGAGAAGCTGGGACAAGGGGGTGATGAGCGAGCGTAAGGGTCGCCAAGTAAATGTCGGTTAATTATACGAATAAATGTCGTGGGGTTTTCTCGGTAGTCTGCAATGGATCGGCTCTTGCATCTTGTGACACCGACGCGTATAACTCGAGGATTTACACGCGTAGTAAGGGAGGTCTGACGTATTTCCATACTAGATCTGCCAGACGTTGGGTTACCGTTACTTATCCCCAGGCATCCTCCCCCCCACTCCTCTTGTATTACAAGAAAATAATTTTCGACCGTACCCCTCTGGTTGCTACATAGACAAAGTGCCAACTGTCTAGCAGCGAATTCCCTAGGACTTGGAAAACTACGGCGTCACTGCTTTACCGACGGTAATCCGTATGGGGTATCTGTAGGTAAGGTTTAGGGTCTAATGAAAAATCGAGGGTAGCTACGGGAAGTATAGGATGGATCGCTAGACTGTTTGCCGATCGATTGATCTCGAATGATCCTCCTGTCTCGCGTCAAAGCACGCATCCATGCCTGGTATCCATTTCGTACTGTGATTTTATCTAATCTTACTTTACCTAGCCATTTCTATACAGGCGCATACTTGGTGCTTGATTCGCGTATGCTCACCGTTAAAGCAGATACATGTATATATATAATACATATAAATATGCACAAATAAATCGAAAAATTTTTCAGGTAGCCACGACAAGATTTCGTCAACATGATAAACAGTACCGAGTACAAAAAGCGACAATTTCAATAGTACGAAAAGGTACCACCTAAAATTCATTAAAAACATATATAAAGTTTATACGCCGTGTTAAAATAATAAGGTATATATATTGACGGGAACAGGAAGAAAAAATAAAAAGACAAGGATGCGCATCCTCGTCCCTCACATCCGGAGGACACTCCAAGAAAGTTCCTACGGCGCGTTTAACGATTGTAAATGTGTGAGAGGATGAACCTGTTCTCGGGCGTTTCGAACAGACGCTCTGGATTTATGACTGCTCGTGCCTCGGCGTTCCGTTCCTCGGAAGGAAGAAACTTTTTCCAAGTACAAGACAGACTCGAGCGAATCGGTTTGCTCGACTCTAGAAAATCCATCGAAGATAAGGGTCGTTTAGTAACCTAAAGAAAGAGCTTCGGCGCGAAGCTCCGCGCGAATGACGTTACAGACATAAAAAATGTCCTTAACAATCCACCCGGTATAGTTGCGTCTCATCCGATTGCGCAATAACGCGCAAGTCAAGTATCACCGTGCAAACAGTTGAAATAAAACTAGTCCCATTGTACTAGACGAAGTCGTTGTTTCTGCGGCAGGTACTCGAGGATCCTCTCAAACGACGCAGTAGAGGATCTAGCCGTAGTCTGTCGTAAAGAAGTGCCGTCATGGTCTCCAAGTCCTTGGTACCGGCGCGAGAGGCGCCGTCGTCTCCGTCGTCCTCCGAACGACGATCGTTTCTCTCTGTCTCGTAGCAGAGTCGAGTTGACTCGAGTCGGACTCGGTTTCATCGAGGCATTAAGAAGGTTGGTTCCTGGCTACAGGAGTATAAGGCGAAGCCGTCCGACTGGCCCACCCTTTGTGCCAGTACCATCGACTGGCACTGTGTGTGTTCCTTGCACCACGAGCGCATTCGGCATTGTGTCGGATTGACGCGAGAACAATGCCGCCGGATGATCCAGCATCTTTGTACTTTCTACGGATTATAATCAGCACTTAAGCGTCTAATAAAACGAACGAGAAGGCAGTTCCTTCTCTCATTGTGCTCGTAAACGATTTTATTTAACCCTCGGATTACCGGCTGAAAGAAACGCGCAGAGGGCCATCCCTCTGTGCTTACGCCGATCGTAGAAGATTCACCGGTAATACGTACACGTTGAGTTATGAGTCTTGCTCGAGGTTCCGTAGCAACGTTAAAATGTTTTTACCGTCTCTTGATTGCCAGGTAAAAAATCACGAGAGCGACTTGAGATAAAGAAATTCGAAATAACGCATGGACGGGGACAGGGAGAAAAAACGGTTAAGCACTTGGCGTATACGAAAGTCATTTACGGTATTAAAAGCCAGCGCTTATGTATACGAGCCATTTGGTATAAGAAGCGTGTTTCACTCGGGGCTTCTATTGCCGAGGAAAGATCATGACTGGGGGTTCTCTTGAAATTGTATCTTATACTTGTTTCTACGAAGCCATAATGTGGAAACGTCATATAAATTCCTACTGTTACGTTCCTAGTGTACGTTATACGTGTGCCTGTATATGTATACAATTTCGAATGGTATATATGTAAATATAGCATTTTGAAATTACTGGAATTACGACGGTAAGGAGAATGCGTTCTTCTCTCTGAATTTCCTTTGATATTCCATTTCCCCAGTTGGATCGGTCGTACCTCGTCGCGTTTATGCATCTCAGTTATTCACTGTAGAATTTCGAAAATCATCAGGGAATACAGCCCATTAGAGAATGCCATAAGGGTCACGATAATAGCCCCGTGATGGAAGCAATAAGACGGCCAATAGCACGTGCCGTGATATATCCGTGTGTATATACCTATATATACGTAGTTGACAGGTAATTCCATTCGGCTAGAGAAGCAAAGGACTTTCTTAATCGCGACTCATAAACGGTTTCACTCGAGCGATAATTCGTTATCTTACGCGCCGTTCAAAAAGGCTCGTCTCCCACGCATTGGCAACTACTGCCTGTACGTGTATAAAGTACCCACAATGCACACGTAGAGCAAACGACGCATCCCGGAGCCGGTTCCGTCTCGCCGATAATTTTATTCCGTCCGACACTTAGCGACAGAATCGCCATGACTGTACTCTTCGCTTAACTAACCGATTGTGCCGGGATTTATTCTTCGGGCTACGAACTTTACGAGCCGATCAATTTGCTCCTCGTGATTTCGTGGCGGATATTTATATAGAGGGCGAGCCCTATCGTTACTGGAAGGTGGGTCGCCATTAAGTGTCAGGCGAGAGAGACGAGGTAAGGATT